AGGGAAGAAAAAAGGACAGAACATTCTTCAGAGAAAGCAAGAAAAGAAAGTTGAACAGAAAGGGAGAGAAAGGAAAATAACTTGGGAAGGAGCATGGGAAGGGGAGAAAGGTAGTGCATTTATGCACAAATATTTCAGGTTATTAAAATTGTTGGGAGCAGACAGGAAAAAGGGGGAGAAGAAAGTTGGGCACTGAAAATATTCTGGTTAGCTTTGTACACTAACAAAAAAATGCTGTAGTATGTGGGTTGCAAACACTAAAATGATAGATGGGGCTTTCAGTTGAATTTGTATTTTGTATGACCACGTTATTTGAATCAAAGCTTGTTGTTTTAAGTAAAGCCTAACTATTGAACTAGTTTTCTAGTTTCAGTGAAGCAGTTGGTGATAAATAAACAAAAATGTCTCCCAACTATCATGTTCGTATTCCAGGCTTTACATGAAGTCTTCTCAAAAGTAAAGTGCTATAAAAGAAGAACAGTTGAAATAGTAAGCACTGTGGAGAAGTTTCAGGAGTCCAAGGGAAACTGAATGAAAAAGGCTGTAAAAAAATACCAGCTTTCATCAGAGGTACATTTAGTTTAATAGATGAAACACCATAGACAGACAATGGCTTAGAATAGAGATATTGTGAGTTTTCTATACAGAAAAGATAACTCTGGTGATGTACTGCTCAGGTACTTTGACCTCAAGCCTCTGATTTGAAAACCTTGTATATGGATATGCAATCAGTACTGCACTTAGTATGACTGATTTGCTTGCATTGACGAATGAGGGGGGAATGCATTTGGCAGCACTGCCCGTGATTTCGGCAATGTCAGTTGGTGTGGCAGAACTATTTATCTTATCCACTGTAAATTTACACCTCTGTTCTAACTTTGCAGCTTGACTTAGGGTGGGGTTGTCCCACTGCCTGAGTGCGTCCTGAAAGACTTGTCTTGTTCTTGTTTGCAGTTCAACGAAATGTAGTACATGCTGTTATTTCCAGCTCTGGCCTACGGGTGTTGTAGTTTTTTTACCCAACACAGAGCTAGGAGATGTTTTTCCTCCTGTCTCCCCCTTTTGAGTGCCGGACCATCACTGAGCAATGGAGGGAAGGAGGGGAGGCAGCAGGGGATCAAATGAGTGAATAAAGGCAAAGACTGACAGCAATAACAGCCAGAATCTTTTTGAACTTTCGTGTAGCCTTGTCCTCAGGCTGCCCTTCCACATTCTTTTGAAGGGATTCGAGAGTCTTGATGTTCTTATATTGAGATCCACTATGTATAGTTCTGTGCCACTGAAATGTATAGAATTTGGACTTCAGCTTTCTGGTATTTTACACATACAAATACTGCCTGACAGGTTAAAGATGACAGCTATTTATAATTGCCTAGAGAATAATGAAGCTTGTTAAAAAAGAAACACATAAATAATCAACTCTTAATGATGGTTCTGTTTGAGACTTTTTATGATGGGTACATTTGTCTGGTAAGCATCTTTGTTCTGTAACAAGAATTACAATAGAAGATACAGAAGATTATATAATAGAAGATTAAAAATATTGTGCTAGGGTTATTACTATTTTAATTGAAAATAGTGAGGCATCTAATTGATTTTGAAATTGGTCTGATAATGCTCAGCTCTTGTATTTCAGCAATGAATGATGATCATAGGTTACAAATGATTATAACCATTAGGGCATGGAGAAAAGGTACCATTCAAAGCTAAACACCACAATTAGGGATGCATGACTGAAGTTTAAAAGTAATGTATTAGTAGTATTGTATGAGACAGTCACATGAAAAAGATCATGAGGTTGTGGAAAGGATTATGATCGTGCTTTAGTCATGAATTTCCTGGTAGAGATATTTTAGTCTGGGTCATGCTTGTTTAAATTAGAATAATTTGACTTTGCTTGTTCTGGTAATATTACCATTATGTGGCAAAAGGGGGAGAAGAGGTGTCTTACCTACAAAAGCAGTATCCTTTGAGTAACTGAATTTTGCTTAAACTTGAGATGCTGTTTTCAGTACTGAGAAACTGAAGTTAAAACGATCCTGAAGGATTTGCTAGAGCATTACAGTATACTGCACGTACTTACGTGCTGCAGCGGTCTTCTATGTAAGCATATGTAAGTTTGTCTTTCTCCCAGGGCTTTCATTTGTCTTGCATGTACCTTAACTGCTTATTCCAGATCCTGAACCTGCTCTTCGCATTAAGTAACATTCAACATTATAAATCCTCAGTTGATGAAAATCAACATATTCCTATAGAAATGTGGAGCTCTGTTGATCTGTCACCAGCCATACTCCTGAGCCAGTACCTTTACTTACTGCCAGAATGTTTCTGCTTCCTGGGATGATGTAAGTCACAGAGCCCAGGTTCTCAGCTTGTGTGAGAGAGAGCATATGTTCTTTATTTAAAGGTTATGGAATGAGTTTCCAGACAATCATACAATCTGAGGGTTGACTCAGTCCAGTGACTCTTGGATAAAGATTTGCAACCTGTTTCTTTTTTGCTCCACCAATAACAACTTACCTGTTTCCTCAAAGAAGAATGGAAAAAGCTTCTGGAAGGTGCTTTGAGATGCTTTTAATGTTTCTGTACTAATCCTAGTGATGTATTTATAAGAACGTTAAGGATGCCTTAAATAGAGTCCGTGAGTGAAAAAGACTATGTGAAAATAATATCTCAGTAAATTTTGGGGATGAACTCATCATATTATATTACTTTAAAAGGTTTGTCACAGCCCTTAAATCAGTAACTGGAATGTAGGTGATTGAACTGGAGACAAACTGCAGTAATTCCAGATTGATGATTGAACAGTTTTCTTATAAAAATAGAACAATAGTATACAATGATTACCCATTGATCTGTCTGATGTCCCAGGAGTCAATTTTGATGCAGATGCCTCCACTTGACAGATATTCTTCTGATATTACATCTGTAACTGGGTCAGCATTGCAAAAGAGAGTTCTGCTTTTTTTTTTTTTTTTTAATATCTTGCAAGCATTTGAAGCTCCAGTGAAAAGTGAATTTTCATTTTTTGTATAAGTAGAGGTTAACAGGAAAAACAGGAAAAACTTTTTCCCTAGTCTTCTGTGTTAACTCATTTGTTATATAAAGTCATTAAAAGGTATCCCTTTCCTTTTTTTTCTGATTCCTTTTCTCTGTCAACCTGTTGCAAGTATAGAAGCTTCCAAGAGATTTTTTTTGTTGTTTTGGTACAATAATTGACTGTAAGTGCAAAACATCAAACCAATATTTTAGGAAATTAAAATGGACTTTAAATGTTTGTGGTTTGCTGCAAAACACTTTCCTGACTGATTTCATGAAGAACGTTTTAGTTAGGAGCTGGGGTGGGCTTGAGAAGGACAGCTAAATGTACCATTTCTTGTCTGAAAGTCAGTAGCATTTTAGCATGCGCTGACCAGGTCACTTGCATCTCTGTGAGTGTAGGGTCAGTTGCAGCTCTAGTCAAGGTGTGCTTAAGCAGCTATAACTGCTTTCACTGTAAAAAGAGGTGAAAGCATACTTAACCTGTTTTCCTATTACTTACATCCTTGCATTTGCTGCAGTGTTTTCATAGCATCTGAGTACACACAAAGCAGGGTGGATGGAGCTCTGTCCTTATCCTTTCTCTCAGCTCTCACTTCCTTCTCAGTCGTACTCTAAATTTAAGTAGTTAAGTGTAAAAGCCCTACTTCTGTGCTTGGTTCCTTTGTCTATTTTAGTCAACTCTTAAACTGTTTAAAATAGTTATTCAAGTGTTCAAATTGATTGGGGAGCTGCGTGCTTCTTTCTTTTTGTTGTCTGCTCCTTTGCTGATAGGAGGGCTTGATTATCTAGTACATGTATCTAGCAGAACTGTTGTAAATGTTACACATTCTTGGTACCAAAAAGAACAAACTAAGTGTTGTTAGAAACCCCTGGCAGTGTTTAAATTATTATTTTTTTAAACATGTATTTTAGAGGTTATTCTCTACCCAAAGTAAGTCTCTAGAAAATAGAAGTCATAAAGTACATTTCTTGTCTTACCTTTAGCTTTCTAGTTCGATAACATTTTTACATAAACTTGGATAATTTTTTTCTTAAAAGTTTCTTTTATAATAATCATTCTGGTTTTATATATATTGCTAGCAGATGCAAACAAAATAAAGCTGTCATCTTTTGTAAAATAGTGAATTGTTTTCAACTCTGAGCACAAGATAGACTTCTGCAGTGTCCTCTTCACCTGATGTTGAATAATTTAAAAAATCAGTACTACTTTCAGCTAGATTGTGTCAGCATTAACAGTATTTTTTGGGTTGCATAAACAGACATTTTCCATACAACCTTATTTTTAAACTAACGTCCATGTAGATCTTTTGAAATCAGTAAACTCATGTAAGTAAAAAGTACTAAGCATACGGACATTTAAGCAATACATTGAAGTTGATTAATGACAACTTATTTTTAAATCATCAGTTACCAATTAAAATAGGGAATTGTACAGTGTGTGTTTTTAGTGGAGGTACTTTAGCAGAATGTAAGAGAACAAATGATGTGTGGGTTTTCAGTTTGTATTATCTACCTGTCATCTCCATAAATAAGAAAATACCATGTTATTGTTTTTAAATAATTTTTATTCTTTTGTAACATGTTTTAACAAGGTTTTCAATACTATAGGTTATCATAAGCGTATAGACCTCTGAAAATAGACACAAAAAATGTTCTGTTATGACTGACTGTAAATGCTGATCTTTTTCTTGTAACTGCCTCCTGTAAGTATGGTATGTAAGACCGCATCTCTAGAATACACAGAGCCTATCTTACTGTTGGATAAGAAAAGTACATATATACAATTTCTGCAGTAAAAATACTGCAGTTGTTATTCTGTTAACGCCAATATCGAAAAAGATTTGTGAGTCATTCAGTTGGTACAAATAAGTGCCATACTGATACTCATGTAGTACAAATGTTGAGATTGCTTTTACACCTAAGTGCTTCCCCTTGTGTGTTTCTTGTAGGAAACAGAGATGAAGGTACACATGCACACAAAATTTTGCATCATTTGTTTGCTGACATTTATCTTTCATCAGTGCAATCATTGCCATGGAGATCAACATGACCATGGTCCTAAAGAGGAACGTGTACACTGCCATAATGACTATCAGATCTCAAATGCATCCTACTTCCAGAATGGAGGAACAGAATCTATGCCGAGTAAATTTTCAACGTTGGAAGCTGAAAATCAACAAAAATGCTATATTGAAAAGATTTTTGATCGTTATGGTGAAAATGGAAGATTATCTTTTTTTGGCCTGGAAAAACTGTTAATAAGCCTTGGTTTAGGAGAGGTAAAAGTAGTGATGATAAATCATGATGATATTGGCCATGATCATGTTTCTCACTTATATGCTTTAGAAGTACAGGAAGGAAAGCATTCTCACTCTCATAACCATCCTCATAGCCACTCAGATTCAGAAAACCAAACCACAGTTGGTATGGCTGCAAAGAGAAATCGCGACCCTGAACGAGATGCAGTAGTGCCACCAGTAAAAGATGACAGCAAACATATTCATGACCAGAGTCGCCATCACCATCATCACCACCCTCGTCTACATCATCATGACCATAATGGTACACGTCACTCTCGTAATGATTCAGTTAGTCATAGTGAACATGGAGAACAGAACCATGAACCTTCAACAGAGACAAACACAACTCAGGATCAGCCAGAAAGAAAGCAACGGAAACAGAAGAAGAAGCAAAAGAAGATCAGTGAGACTTCAGGAGATGCTACACGGGATTATGCCCCAGATCATGATCCAGGTGATCAGTATGAGCACAACCGTGTTCATAAACATGATCATGTACATGATGCATCTCACTTGCATGTACACCATCATGAACACAGTAGTGATCGTTCTACTAGTCATGGACATCAAGATTCCAGTTTAGGTAATGAGGATGGCCACCACCATACCATCCAGCGAGAGGGACCTCATAAGCAGACTAGTGTAAGAAAACATGAAATTTTTTCAACACGTAGTCATAAGGATCATAACGAAGATGAACGTGATCGTGAAGAGGTGAGTATGAAATGGAGAACCGGTAAGTTCACTGTCGCTGTTGTTAACATAGTAATTGAAGGTGTATACTCACAAGTAATGTAGAAGCGTGTTTGCAACCGTTACATAATACGGTTAGTAGAGTGAAAACACTAAAGGTAACTGCCACAGTTTTGAGTTCATTTTATGGGTTTTCATTTCTGTCTGCCCATCGCCCATCTCTTCTCAGAGATCTATCTTCTTTCTTATTTTTCTGTATAAAGGAGATACTTAAAGTTTTCTGAGATACCTTGCTTACAGGTGGGGTTTTTTCCCTTCCCAATATTCATGAATACTTCCCACACACACACCTTTTTTGGACTTCTTCCTGAATCTAAGATCATTAACATTTTTGGAAACTTCACAGAGGCTCTTTCCTAAAAGAAACACCTGCATCTTTTCAACATGCTTCTAATTTCTTTGTCCTAAGAGATTGTGATGCAGTGTAGATGTAGCTTCTGTAGCACTGTGCTTGGTGTAAGATCTTCCATTTCTCCCTTCAGCATCCGTTATTTCTGCCAGGACCATAAATATATTTTCCCTTCCCCCTTACAGTTAACTGCAGAAGCAGGACATTTTGATATCATTGTTTTAAACTAGAAGTCAGGATGGGAAAGGATGGAGTGCTGAGTTTTGGGTTTTAAACTGAATTAAAAAGTGAAACTCAAAACACAGAAGGTTGGTAGGTAAAGAGACATGTTAGAAAACCTAATTTGGATTTATGTTCTTCCACTCCTTTCCTGTTGCTCTTTCTTCATTGCTTGTACTGTGTAATGGTAAAGAATATGGAAACTCATTTTCATTGACATTTATCAAAAATTATATAGGTGCTTGGAGACATGTAATGCAGATATTTTTGCTGTTTCTTTCCCCTCATAAGCCACTTAGATCAGCTTAGACGTGTTTTAGCACTGGTGGAATGTTGTGGGCCAGAGTTTCTACTTTCTGTTTGTGTTCTCAAATCATATGCTAAGTTTTCCATAACTGTAGTTTTTAATGAAGTAGTTGCTGTCATGTTTAACTTGCTTGTGCAATTTGCTTGCAGTGCTTAAATGTTACCCAGCTGCTACGGTACTATGGTCTGGAAACCAGCTCTCCAATATCTCCTGAATTGTTTATATACATGTGTCCTGCTTTGCTATACCAGATCGAGAGAAGGCTTTGTATTGTACATTATGATGAGCTGGAAGATTTTATGAAAAGTAAAAATGCTTCAATTGAGAATAAAGATAAAACAGGTGCATCAGGTAAGTCTGTAACATCTAAAGGCTTCAAAATTAGAAATGTCATGCAACTTAGCATTGACTGTAGAGTAAAAGAATGGTTGAAATTTAACACATTTATTAGAAGACATTTGAGAAGGCATGCTCATTTAACTCGGGAGACATGGAATCCTGTTTGGTGGTATGATAACTTCTCCCAACCACGGCCCAGGGAGGCATACCTTTCTTTCTTGTACCTTTTTTATCCTTTTTCATTATTTTCATTTATTGTTTTGTTTGCTTATTTTTATTTCTTTTTTTTTTTTTGTCTTCTATCATTGAGGCCTAACATCCTATAGTTGGACCTATAGCCTAAGCATTCTGGCCTGGATTCTTACCACATATCTTTAGACGTTGGACTCTTTTGTAGTAGGAACATAGGCAAGGTACAGAATCTTTGGAGACAGAAGGACTTCTAGGGATGAGCAAGTCCACCCACAGTTTGGATTATTTGCATTGTTTAAAATATATTTGATCTTTTTCTCTTAATGTGACTGGAAAGTTGCAGTGTTACTTTGGCACAAATTTTGTTAATAGATTCGGCCTGAATGTATTCATTCAGGAATAGAGAACAGCACCTTCATCACAGTTCATTCACTGGAAAATATGATTTCAGATGTTACTATTTTTATATTCTAGCAGTGATGCAAATTTGTAGAATTGACATCAAGAATTTTTTATGAACTTTTGAAATATAAAGACCTAAGCAAGATACAAGAGCATTTAAATTGCCATTTCTGACAACAATTCCCTTTTCTGACTTCGTGTCAATTATTCTATACTACTTCTATACTACTCCTACAAATATTCAATCAAAATCATCTGTTGGCAGTTTTATTTTTGTGTGTGTGTGCCTTGAGTAAAAATCAGTAGACTTTTTTTTTCTGCTTACCTAGTTCTAAGCTAAAAATATTTTTATTATTGTTAAAGCAGTTACTTTAAGGGCAGCATCCATTGTTGTGATTTCATAACTGAGTATACTTTTAAAATATTTGTTTACTACTGCTATCTTTCATAAATGATAATGGAACTGTTGTCAGATATTTAGCTGCAGTGAAATATTAAAATTCTAAACCATCTTGAGTACAGTGTCAGTGTCTTGAAAATAAAAATACTGGTAATTGTGAATATTGATTAGTACTTAGGTGCTTATTAGCATCGTTAGAAATAAAGCTTAAAGTAACTACATTCTCATAGATGTTAATAACTGTTGGAAAGAGTCCACTGCTGGTAATCTTTATTAACAATGCTGGAGTCATTAAAATAATTAACTTGTTATACATAAATCTCCTATAGTGACACAACTGCTATCTTGTTAACTGTTCAAAGAGTGCTGTAAACCAAATATACTCTGTGTTTTATATGGCAGCAAATTGTTTTGTGGGGGTAGTCTCATTGTGATAAGAGTTGACCCCTGCCTTATTCCAAGAGGATTTGTAGAGTAGCTCTAAGCATTTTCTGCCAATTAAAATGTTGAAACCATATACAAAACTGTCATGTTGCACATGCTTTGAACCAGTTTAATTAGAAAGTTTCTGCAGATGAGTGCTTCTTTTAAAAAGAATGCATTTTCTTTCTCTGTAACGAGTAAGGGAGTTGATGAATAACTCAGCTTGAAGACCTTTAACATTTTAAGAAACTTAATTTGCAAAATTAGTGAAGCTTATTGTGAACATTTAACATGTTTTATGGCATGTGATATCTTGAGTATAAATAACACATTTGCCAGTTAGTTGTAAAATACCAGGTTTTAACTTATTGATTTGGCTCTGAAAACAAACAGCAACCTCTAAAACAGGTCAACTTGATTAGATAACGATAAGTCATTCTTCATAACAATTTCCTGTGTACTGTTGTATTAACAACAGCGAGACCTCAGTTGGTGCAATAATCATTTTCCCTTCTCAAGTAAGGGAGTGAGTCACAAAATAACAAATCTTAACCGTTATGTGGGGATTGTGGGAGGTGTAGGACAAATGCCAGTCATAAAGTAACTTAACCTGCAGGTTGTAGGATTCTACTAAAATGAAAATGCGTGCTTACCTGAGCTGATGTAAACATTTTTAGATAGAAATATTTGCCGAAGTTAGGAGGATGCAGACATTTTTAAACACTAGCTTTCTGTGGTTTTCTTTAGTTTTAATGAAAGCTTTCAAAAAAGCTTGATAGATCAGTGTGCTTCTGTTCATTGCTACTAACCTGCAAGGTTTCCATTAGTTCGGATAGTGCAGTTTTCTAAAGCAAAGTAATTTAATTAACTGATGACCAAAAACTTATGAAGCCATGTTGGGTTTTCTTCCTGTAATTTACAGATAGTTCTGTAATGTCTTCTAATATGGGATTTTCAAGGGCTTACACATATAGTGTGCTTTCACAGTGTACCTATTCGAAGAGGGGGCATTGTTTTCAATGAGGGCTCCTAAACAACTTACAAGGAAAGGTACACCCTGCTATGAATCAAGCTAATAGAACTGATACAAGTAAACAGTGAGCAATTTTTTTCAAGATGGAGATGAGCTAGAGCTGTTAATTGAAAGTATTTCAGATCAGATATATCTTATAAATCTGCCTGTGCCAGATGCCAGTGTTCCCTGAAGCTTACCATTCCCTGAACCCAGGAAGGCTTTGCTTCAGTGGAGCCTCTCTGTTAGCTTACTTCCTTGTTAAAGCTTGCAGATCGTTAACAGTTCTCAGCCTTACAAGGAGTCTACCTTTCTACCCTTTTAGTCTGTGTTAATTTAACAGATTGCTGTCCAAATCTGGTGCGAGCAGCTGTCTTTGCTTTGCTACCCACTGTTTGAACAGAGGTCCCTTACTGAAGAAATTGTTTGGTCACCTCCCTCTTGTTTTTTTTGGCAGAAATATTTTATAAGCCAGTGCATAATAATTTCACCTCATTGACCAAGCTTTATACAGTATTCCTAGGAGTGTTATACACCAAGTTCTTCTATAACTTAAGAGCTCTTGCAGTGTTCATAATATTGCATATTAGTTCCACTTCCATAATATTTTTTTTCACTACAGTTGAATGAAATCCTTCAATAAAATACTGTGTCAGAATTCTGTTGTAAGTCTTCCTTAGTAGTTCTTTTTACATGAAGAGTGTTTGTACATATATGGAACTGTGGTGTCATACAAAGCTTTTGTATATGATATATTTTTTGTATTTGACTTGACAGCAAACTTTTGCTGATAGTTTTGGGTCCGTACCGTCTTTTAGGAGCTTAAACAGAGACAGAAGCTGATGACCAAGATCTGAGAGATGCACAGATTCCGTATTCTAATTCCAGTGTGCCTCATCTTAATCATGGTGCCATGTTTAGATACTGTATCATTCATAAGAGTATGTAAGCCCTTCAGAGATGCGTTTGCCAAATCTATGCTGTGATATATGAAACTTAACCCAGTTTGCATAATCTCTCTTCCATTTTTCTCCATGTAAGGTTGTTGGTCATCTAACCTGGCACTTAACATTGTAATGTCTGTGTCCAGATTGGAGATCCAATGTCCTGACAAATGACTGTGTAATTTTTATTGGAGCTACTTGTGCATGATTCAGTATTGAATTACAAGTCCATGTATGCTGTTTCTTTCAGCAGAGCCTGTTAATCCAGAGTACATAATTGAAGCGCTCTGGGGATGAATCAAGGCTGTGTAGTAGCAGTATTTTGATCAGCAGGGTCCTGCTTCCACTCTAGACCTAATTTTGTATTCCCATTTTCCAACCTCTTTTTAGTTCCTCTAGTTCCTCATCTGATGGCAGTCTTTGCCTTTTCACCAACTCTCTCTTTTCCTCTCAGTATCAATATGCATTTCAGTGTACGCTGCGTATTTTCTAAAGCTTATTCCAGTCAGTTTCTCCTGGTGGATGTGCTCTTGTACTCTTTGCATTTGAACTGGATTGTGGAATGACAGCTACAGACTTTGTAAGAATGAATATCCCAAAAATAAAGTTCAAACCAGCAGATGTTGTAAATTTAGGTGTTGAACCAGACCAGGCCTGCAGCAGCTACAATTCTAGTGGCAGTCTTGTCAAATCTGACCTGTAGCATTTTTTGTATGGATAGAATTCTTGGGACAGTTGACTGCTAAATTATAAAAGTCATTGAGCAGCTACAACACATTCATTCCTCCTCTCTTTTCTTCTCCCTCCATGCCCCCATTTCCCAGGATGTGTTCCCCCACCTGATCAAAAATGAGTGGACATTCCTAGATGCAAGGAAAGTCAGATCATGCACAAAGTATGGAGATGCTAATGATTTTCAGTCAGGAGTTGGCAACTTTCCTTAAAGTTAGCAAACTGTGTAGACATTTTTGATTAAGAATGAAGCTAGGAAAAAAACCTGGAAAAACCTGAAGCATTTATTTGGGCTAAAACTTTAAATAAATAAATACATAAGTTCAGATTGAGGAAATTATGTTCCTGAAAGATTTCAGCCCAAACAGTTAATGTTTGTAAAATAGGAGGACCAACTGTTCCTGTCTTTGGGACTGTGAACCTTTTGAACTGTATTGTTGGAATTAAACAGTTTTTACTTAATGTTCTTTGAAGTTTCAGTTATGGGAAGAAACAGGGGAAGTGATAGAGAAGCAGAGAGAGAGGGGGAAAAAACCCAACAGTTTTTAAATCATAGTCTTACTGATGACTTGAAAAAGTAGAAGAAAAAAAATTTTATTAGGGTGAGATGCTGACTGCAAGAGCCATGCTTCTCTCTTACATGATCTGTTTCTTGTGTAATTCCTCCTTTTCCACGTCATACAGAAATGTGCACATTTTTCCTAATTGACAGGATTATGTTGACTACCATATCACATTAATCACTTTTTCTTCTAATGACAACAATAGAGGTTCTCAGAAAAAGTATATACTGCTTTTATGTGGGTAGCAAGTTGGTTTCAGCTCTTCAAGCTCTTATGCCTTTGATTTTAAAGTTCCTCTGTCAAAGGTTGAGTCCTACGTATTTCTCATAAATAAAAATGGATGTTTCAAAGCACCAGGTGAAGAGAATGCTGTCTAACTGAGCACATTGCTCCTAACAAAGGAGGAGAAATACTGATTCCAGTTAAATTTTGCATCAGAATCACATTAAAAGCAAACATTAAATATGAATTGGTGCTTGTAGAATCCTAGTAAGTTTAGTAGCAGAGATACTTTTGTTCCAACAGGAAAACTTTTGCTTTTGTGTTTCATTAAAGGCTACAGAGCTAAGCCTTAAAATCAGGAAGAATTGCTGGGCTCTTTTTAGCTGATAGTCTTCTGATATCTTTCACTATATTGTACAGTACTGTGAATAAGCCTGTGTATTTTTTGCTGTGTACTTCAGTACTGCCTTCATATTTTTCAGCATCTTTTGAATGAACAATCACACAACTTAGTTTAAAGGAAAGTCACCTTCTTAAAAGATAGATGAAAGTCATTAATCAGTCTTAAAAGTTTTACAAGGATTTTTCTGATAACCTTTCTGTATTCGTTTCTTCCCACAGCCTGGTTGTGTGGTATCATCTCTATCACCGTCATTAGCCTGCTTTCCTTGCTAGGTGTGATCTTGATTCCCATCATTAACCAATGGTGCTTCAAATTTCTTCTAACTTTCTTGGTAGCTCTGGCTGTAGGAACAATGAGTGGAGATGCACTACTCCATCTGTTGCCACATGTAAGTATTGTTTCCTTACCTTCTATTCTTAATTATAACTGTATATAGGATTTTCAAAGAACGGTTTGACAAGTATCAATAAATAAATGTTTGCTGATGCAGATGTGGCTTGACTTGACTATGAGGGATGTCCTGCAACACTGTTTGAAACTTTCTGTTAACAAAAAGAAAGGAAATGGGTGTTTCGTAAAAGAGGGGGAAAAAAAGAAAAAAACAGTAGTTGTGTGTTCATAGCTTAACTTCTGTCACAGTATTTTAAAACACCTAATGAGACCAACAAGAGTATTTTAAATTTAGCAGTATTACTGTCTCTTGTCTACTGATACTTGTGTACCAGTACCACCTAAAAGTATTTTGGGGGATTGACCTTCCTGGTTACTAGCTTTTGGGGAAAAAGTAACCTCTAACGTACTGAATCAAGAAATTGTCCAGGTTCCTAGGAAGGTAAGCAGTTTTTAATTTGTGATGGTACACTGTAGTTCTTAGAAGGGGAAATATTTTCTAAAATTTTGTGAATTCTTTTAGCAAACTGGCTAATGTTTATATGTTTTCTTTGTGTAAATTTAGTGCACACTTCTGGTCTTTTTTTTTTTTTAAGTTTATCTGTCAGATCAGAATTAAGGCTGTAATTGACTGTAATAGTTAAAAAAAATTGTGATGTTTGGTTGCTAATGGAAGTGTAGGAATGGTAATTCCTTGTGACATTTCTGAATGTTAGTCTCATTATCTTTAGCATTGTGACAGGAAAAAGCTGAAGCTAGATTATCTCCCCCTTCCCCCCCAAAAAAATTTCCTAGGAGAAATTTTTTTTATTGATTAGGATAATGAATAGTCTAATGAAAAATTTCTATGGTAAAATGTGTTTGTATAACAACCCAACAACCCAACTTTTAAAGTCTTTTTATGCTACTTTTCTGGCAAGTTACATATTTTGTCATCTGAGGTTGGAGCCATTTCAGTCTCCTGATGGCACCAGGTCATGCTGTGTTGTTATTTTCTCTCCTAATAGTCACATGGAGGCCACAACCACAGTCACCACCATGGCCAAGGTCATGTTCATGAACACAAGCGGTCTCATCGACATGCCCACGGACATGGAGTACGGACTGAAGGCTTTCTAGAAGAAAATGATCCAGTGCTGAAAGGTCTTGTGGCACTTGGAGGCATTTACGTTTTGTTCATCATTGAACATTGTATAAGAATGTACAAGCATTACAATAAACAAAAGGTTCGCACTAGAGCTGCATGCTATTTATAAATGTTACCTGAACTTGTCATCTTCCAAGTGTTGAGGAATTGTCTGTGTGACGATTCATTATTCTGTGAACATGAACAATTGCTGCTGATCTGCATTCTGTTTGATTTTATGTGAGGAAGCCCTTTTCTAAAAGAGGTTGCTTTTCTTAACAAGGTAATTTGGGAAGACAGAGTAGAAATCTGATGGGGGAGGTTGCAGCTTTTTAGCCAGATATATTTGGAGGTAGATCTAAGTAAAAGAGATTACAGCTCTTTCTCTAAAGCGCTGGGATTTTTTTGCAAAAATCTGAAGGGCAGTATGTAAGAAAGAACTGGCAGTAGAGCCAATCGTCAGACAATTCACAAGAAATTTAACTGTATGCTATTAGCTAACGATGCAGGTGTAACAGAGGTATTCAGTTTTTTCACATGAGAAATGCTAATATTTGCAGACCACCTGCTTTCTAGAAATTGCCAAATTTTAACTTGTTTCCCTGAAAATGATTGGATTTTTAGGACCGGGAGCATGCTGTATTCATGATGGTGGTATAAAAGGAGAGCAGGTACCTCAGGGGAGTGTGACAGAGGTTAAGAATTCAAGCCACCAAAGAGCCAATATTCTTTCAACTGTCAATATAAATACATTTTAACTTTTGCTTCCCATCATTTGACCTTGAGGAGAAAATGATTTTTGGGAAACTATAATTGCTGCTCCCAAAATGAGTCTGGAAAATTGTGAAGTTCTTTGTTTTCATGGCAGACTTGCTGCCTCAGCTGGACTGGCAGCAAAAGATTTTCTGTGTTGGAGGAGGCATTTCTTAGATCTTCTGATAAAAGCTGTCGCATGGAGCATATCTTCTTTGAGATGAATTAAATAATTAAGTCCCATAGGCTTCTTTGGCAAATCTGTGATCGCTGTTGCATGGGCTGCAGATAGGAAAGTAGCAAGCTTTTCTCTAAAGGAAAATACAAGGAAGTTATAGGAGTATAAAAAAATTGAACAAGATAGAGGAACTGTTCTTGTTGCATGCATGCTTTCTTGCACAAAGTAAGCTAATGTAATAACTCTCCATACATGTGTTTCTGGGCTTTTAGAGCAATCCTTGTCATAACATACTCTCTTATTGAAGTGAAATATCCTCTGTGTGTGCGCATGTGTGTTTGTGAGTGACATTCTGTGATAGGTAGCTAAGAATTTCCACTGGGATAGATATTGTTGCTGCGCCTTACAGAAATTAATATTCTGTAGTCACATACTTCTGTTAGACATATTAAGAGACAGTAACTTGGTCTATTTTGAAGAGATTTTTGGAAAACATTTCAGTTTATTTCCATCAATACCCTTTTACAAACGAGATGTTATCTGCTTCCTGTTGCAGAGTAAGCAGAAGTGGTGCAAGAAGAACCAGACTGAAGAATCACCAATTGGAAGGAAACTTTCCGATCACAAATTAAATAATAGACCAGATGCTGACTGGCTTCAGCTCAAACCCCTTGCAGGTAAGCATTTATTTTCAGAATTTTCTCTGATTATGAGATTCAAAGTAATCGTATGTAACCTATGGCTTGTAGCATGTAACCTCTTGTACAGTTTTGCTGCTATTATGCAAATCATTGTTAATAAGGCTTAATAGGCTTTCCCTATTAATTTTTTTTTTACTTTTGTTTTCCTTAGATCTGAGAGCACTCTGAACACTTCCTAATATGCCATACAAATGGTTTTCAGACCTCTGAAGCAGTCAGGTTTTGGGTGGCTGCGGTTCTTTGGGGGTTTTTTGCTTGTTTGTTTTTGGTGTGTTCTTTGGTTAAGCTGTGCCTGACTAGCTCAGCCCTGGCAAAAATTAGACCAAAAATGAACACACACAACCTTAAAAGGGGATATCTGTTTCACTTTGAAGATTCCGGTCTCTGACCAATTATAGTTTGGCTGAGAAGGCTCAACAAAATTAATTTATTTTCATAAATACAACGAAGTATCCTGAATATTCCTCAGGTATCCAAAACAACTTTCACATACTGTTCCTTCATTACACTCTGAATGCTCGTGCAGTGTGTACCCAGAAGGAATGTCGTATCACCCTTCTTGAAGGGATGAGGGAAGGGGAAGGGCTTTGCTTCATAAACTTCCCTTTCTGTTGCCTGCATGGCTGCTGAATTAATGTCTTGATGAAGAATCCATAGGCTATATTTATACAAAGGCAATCTTGTTATTTTGAATGGTTTGTAGAAGGGCGAGTTAGCACTGAAGCCTTCTCCACTCAAGCAACTTAAAATGGGATTCGGGACATTGACATAGAGTCATAAAAAGACTTTCAGCTGTGAGGATGGTGGTAACTATATTTGAAATGTCTCTGTTTTCTTTTAACGGGCACTCAGAGGAATTTTGCTTCTAATGACATGGAATGCGTGCTGACTTTATAACACTGTTACTCTGAAAGTGTGCTCTGCTGATCAGTGACTCATTCATAGTACTGGCACTGGAAGCCCATGCTGAATTTGAATTTTGAACTGCAGTGACACTACGTCTGACCTGAGTGGCCATTCCATTTCTTTTTAAACAGCCTTCAAATGATGTTTAAGAGCCTGTTTATCTTTGCTACTGTTCCGGTTACTGTTTGCTCTTTTTGACTCTGAAATATTTTTGTTGAATTATTGTGAGCTAATAACTTCAGTGTCCAGAACTGCTTTTTTTTCCACACCTGGTTTTGTTTTCTGGAGCATAGATTGCCAGTTTAATTTATTTATTAATACTTCAGAAATATTACTAGACTTACAATTTTTGTTCGTATTTCTTCTGCATTGTTTTCACTTTTGTGTTTCTTTGTAAAAATGGCTTTCATTGCTAGCAGAGTAATGAGCCACATTGAAGAGGCCCGCTGTATGACGCAAGTGTCTGACACAGATATGTGCAATACAGAAACTGTTTAAAGATCTGTTGTATCAGTGAAGGCTAAGTTGTGACCTATATGTGCATCAGAGAGAGCAGCCAGTTACAGATTCCTTAGCCATTCAGATTCCATCTAGAGCATATAAGACATTATTATCGTTCTGGTGACTTCCCTTTTCCAGTGTTGAACCATAAACTTCATCAGTAGCAAAATTACAGATACAAGCCCAGGGCGGCCTAAAACTGACTTTGTGTGGTATGGATACAGTGCTGTTGCCTCATAGTGGAGACGTCTATATGCTGGCCATGCAAATCAGTGAAAAAATGGGGCGGTGGGAGATTTTTTTTTTTTCTGAATGTTGACAACAAAGTTACTAGATTGGGATGTGTTAAAATACTATTTTTGCTTTTGCAAAGCAAGTAAATTCTTAGCTCAATGATGTGGTAGTTGCTGGTGATATTTTAAATGAGAATTAATGCCGTGTCTCTCCCAACTGGCTTCAATGTAGGAGCAGACGACTCAGTTTTATCTGAAGACCGACTCAATGAAACTGAACTAACAGATTTAGATGGCCAACTGGAGTGCCCTCCCAAAAACTTCTTGTCTGTAGAAGAGGACAACAATATGCACCATTCTCACAATGATGTCTCACATGCTGCTCAAGAGCACGATCTTCATGATTCAGAGTATGACAGCCATGGCGAAGATAAAATGATAGCTAGAAAACACAGTCACCACTGGCATCACAAACATTCCCATCATTCCCATGGCCACTGTCATTCTGGAAAAGACCTGAAAGATACTGGGATAGCTAATATTGCTTGGATGGTAATTATGGGAGATGGCATTCACAACTTTAGTGATGGCTTAGCAATCGGTAAGCAAAAGCACTGAGTACTTCTCAACAGTTTCTTCTTTCCTTTAGTAACCTTGGTAATATTTTACTTCTCAGTGATCACAGGTAAGGCTTCCCGCTAGCTCCTGGGGTGCCTGGCATGTTCGGTCTCCTTCAGAGATTACTGCATTGGTAGCAACTACAGTAGCGATTTCTGCCAAATCAAGATAGGTGCAGACAAATCTCCTTAGGAATCATGGAGCACATGTAATGCACATTTGTGGTTTGGGTCTCAGTATTTGCCTTTGAATAAAAATAAGTGCCTTTCAGTCTCATTTATAAAGATACATATAATAATATTTCTATTATTAGTATTACATAGAATTATACAGTACTTGTAAATAATAAGTGTACTGTGAATCAGGTTACTGAAATAATTTTTTAAAAAATAACTGCTAGTTAAGATAATTTAAATTTTGTTTGAGCAAAGTATTGTTTTGGCTTATGGTCAGTATAGATTTATTTCTAGCCAAATGTAGAAGAAATTGAAGTACCAAGGAAATTTTTATTAGATTTATTAAATCAACTTAGATTCACATAAACCTCTAAATGTGATTTGAACTGTAAAACACATTAATTTGAATATATGTCGTACAAGTCAAAATGATGGTGAGAGTACTCAAGTGCCTACTTGTAATTTTCTACTAAGTTAGCTACTAAGAGTGGGATCTACTACAGTTTCTCCACCTTCTCCAAACAATTTCTAAAGAAACTAAAGTCCAAAAAATTAACTTTTTGCTTCATTTTCACATGAAACAGGTAAGACAGTTAGACACTGGCTTCTAAGGCCAAAAGGATCACTATGCCATCTGTTGACAACTTCACTGTATTGCAGCTTCATTTCTAAATATTCCTGTCTCAAGCCCAAACAGCTGATACTTTGGTAAAATGTAGATTTTTTATTTTTTTTTTTTAAGAAAAGCACGTTCGTCATTTTCATATATGAAATTATGAGGAATTCAGAGGAAATTTAAGTTTCCTCTCTGTCTTCAGATTGTGTCTTCTCTTTCTGTTTTATTTTGCCTGTTTTGGCTGCTCACTGCAGGCTCTTCTTGTGCCTTTCTCTGCTGCAGTACAGAAATGTAATACCAGTTTTCTCATCTCAGAATTATTTAAGGTATGGACTTAAAGTTGATTGAATTAAATTAGCTTACACAAAAGTTCCTGGAAGAGGTTTATGTCAATGTTTTTTCTCATTATTATTTTCCAGGTCTGGCTTATTAATGTTGCTAATATATGCCCTACAAATAAGCATCAAGGAAATAGAGAGGTTATGGGTTAAATATTAGTTTGGAGTTCCTAAAAATGTAAAAGTGATGCCATTTATTAGTCTGTTGCCTTTATGTCTCTGTTTTGCTCAGCTGTGTTCTCCTCTCCCAGGATTTGTCTGTCAGATAAACTGAATAATAAAATATGCAGTAATAATGCACATCCAGGATACTTCCAGTATTTTCAGTTTATATGCAGACAGGACACAGGCATAATGAAAAAATAGTAGAGTGTGCATTCTAACAGAAGGTTGTCATCTCTGGAAAGTCTGTTGATAAAATTTTCTGACTTGAAAATAGTAAAATATCATTTGAATCTCTTCTTTTCTAGGAGCAGCTTTTAGTGCTGGACTGACAGGAGGAATTAGTACATCTATAGCAGTATTTTGTCATGAGCTTCCCCATGAATTAGGTAACTAATTACATAAATCAATGTGTTTAGTGTCTTCATCTGTAGAAAATATGTAACTAAAAGCTATTTTGATACCCATCCTGATAAGCATAATGCAATGCAGATGCTGCAAGGGTGACCAGAACTTCAGAGAGTAATGGAGCAATATTGCTTTAGAGTATGTAATGAGAATATTAATACAGGATTATTTTGACAGGTATCTAGATACAGCAGTTCTGTGAAGCTATTTGAACATGTTTTAAAAACGTTCTTAGGAGCATACCATTTACATTTTGGTGTTACACCTCTGCATTTTGTAGAGAGTATTTCACACTACACTGTGGCATTGTCTTACACAAGCTTAGGTAAAGTTACATAAGTAAACATAAGTTTATGTTCATCATCTTCAGAAGATGCTTTGTACCAATTTTCCAGTTGGTGTGGATGACAATTTAGGGTAAAGCCTGTGGGCGTTGTTGCCGGTGCCAGTGATTCCTCCCTCCTAATCGAAGCATTTCTTCTTGGGCTTAGCTAACCATGATGAACCTGTTGTTTTCCTGTGAGCCATAAGGCACATTGGATGAAATTCTAGTGCACCCTGAGACTTACAAAATAGCAGCTAGAGAGGGGAGTTGTCGTCTTTTTTGCCAGTGACATGAAACTGTGCTAGATTAGATTAAACTGTGTATGCACTCCCAGCTGGCTTACTTGATGAGCTGCTAGCTCTGAATGATCAAAAGTAAGGTAAACTGCTTCAAAAACCCTTAGAGGTGATGAGTGAAAAGCATTTTATATAGGCAGGTACAAAGGATAAAGTAAGTAAGTAATGGGCACAGATGGAAATAATAGAGCAAATGTTCGTGGTTTGATGGTGCTATACAATCATTAGTTAAGTGAAGCTGCTGCAGTGTGTAAAGGATTGCAGTATGTATTAGCGTGCTTGTAACTTGCTAGGTTAACAGGATTAAATTAACCTTGTATAAGCAGCAAGTAGTTAACTGTAAATATTTTTGTTTGATTCTAGATTGAGCAATTAATTTCTAGCATATCTGACATGAGAATATGAGATTAATTACCCTCATGAGTGCATATCATCTTCCACTCCTCAGCTTTACTCCCTTCAAACTGAACTCTTGTGAATATGTCAGAGCTCATTACAAGATGAAAATTTAGATACAGAACATAGTTAAAGAACATCTGCCTCTATCAGCAATTTTAGCAGAGCTGTCCTGAACTCAAACTAAACCAGGTTAACTTGGCATGTCTTAAACCAGCAAACTGATTCAGCATGGATGTGATGTCATTCTTTCTGAATGTAACTCTTCCTTTTCCTAGTGCTATATTTCTCAACTTCATTGACATCTTCTGTGGGGACTAAGGCCTGGTTATCCTCTTGAATTTGCAGAATGAGATGTATATAGCTAAGAGGATTTTTCACAGGTATTGATCAAGACTGAGCCTCTGGTTTTGTGCCATGAAGAACTTCTGTGAAGTAAAGACAACTCTGTATGCACAGATGTATTCTTTGTGGGAGGAACAGACCTAGACTCCTCCATTTACTGTTAGCCATTAATCACTGTTACCTTTCTGACAATCACCACAATGAATTATTGGCACCTTTAAATCATATTTTAATCCAGGCATTGCTGCACATAAATACAGCTCTTACAAAAGTTGTCATATCCTGTTGGCCAGTCTTCCTTTGAGCCTCTGTAGCAGCATTTTTACTTTAGCAATGCATTGGTTTGGTGAGATAGTAAATGTAGGGTAATTTATCTACTTGCTCTCCTGAGAAGCATTGATACTAAACCCTGTGCTCTGTCCCCATTTTAGGTGACTTTGCTGTGCTTCTTAAAGCAGGTATGACAGTAAAGCAAGCTATTGTGTACAACCTCCTGTCTGCCATGATGGCTTACATAGGGATGCTGATAGGCACAGCGGTGGGCCAGTATGCTAATAACATCACCTTGTGGATCTTTGCAATCACTGCAGGCATGTTCCTCTATGTGGCGCTGGTTGACATGGTAAGATTGTTATGATTCTGTGTCATTTTTGCCTTTCATGCATGAAACCTAGGACTTGAAATAGCACCTATGACAGAACTTCTTTGCTGTAACACATAAAACGTCTGTAGACAGTAGATGGCTGTTTCTGTTCTTTTTTAAAAATGTTGCAGATACTTTGAAAGATGCAGCAAAGTTTTATAGTTGCTTGCCTATTTGGGTTTCTGCTACCGAAGTTTGCCAGTGATTCCTGTTAAAATAGAAACACTGCAGGGGGGCTGGGAAAGGCAGTTACACTTCCCACTAATAAACTAATAAAAATAGTAACTTCCCACTAATAAAAATAGGATGATTGTCTGGTTTTGTGGATGCGGCATTGACTCTGGAGTTCAGTCCAGTGTTTAGAATTGTTCTTCACTAAAATTTAGTCTTCATATATTTGATTCTGGAAGGCTTAGTCTGAACCCTTAGCATAAGCAGCTGCTAATCCATAGCTCTTGTGGTGGTTAGCTTTTTAAAAAATTGTCTGGTGGAAAAATGTGCTGCTTCAAGGATTTCGCTATAGGTACATTATATTTAGTGCGTGTGTACCGCAGATCAAGATCTGAATGCACTTGTACACATGGTATCAGTCCGTATTCAATCCTGACTTCTCTCCTAAGCAGTTTCATCCATGGTCTATTTTATAAGTGATAAACATTTTTTCACACCAGTATATTTTTTATATTTAAATACTCAGTGGGTCAAATTAATTGTCAGTTTTATGTGTCTTTCTGAAATAGAGTAATACAAGACCAGATGGGTAATATCTTTGGGGTTTTAGCAGATTCGATGCTCTGATAATTTGTCATTGTCTGTTGTGCAGTATTCAGGTACTCAGAATAACCAAAACTATTCCAGCCTATCTAATGAAGAGCAATAAATAGAGACTTGTGCTGCCTACTACCTGAAGTTTCCATTTTGCTCTGCATTAGATTTTTTCTGTACTAAGTGTGTCTTGAAGGAATTCCTTTGTTTACCTCATGCCTTCTTGAATTAATATATTTGTAAAACATTTTATTTCTCTTCTGTATAGGTGGCTAAGACACTTACTTTGAGATTTATTTTTATATTTTCCAAAAGTCCACTATTATTTGTTGCATCTGTCAGTACTATTTGACTTTTCTTCTTAGGTGAGGAATATAAGGAATATCCAGAGCTTTCAGAACTTTTTTATAGCTTCACATAGAATTTCTCCTGAATTATTGGTAGCTATTATTTCGATATTTAAAAGGGAAATGTATGTGAATACATCTAAGCGTATAACGTGAGAAATGAATGGCTAAGTTAATCGGCAAAGTCATTATAAAGGCTATATTTATAGAAATGTAATTACTGTAGCAATAGTCAAAGCTTTATATTATGTTTATTTGAGAATGACTTAATTTTATTTGAGTGAAAGAACCCGAAAGAGCAGAACGCGAAGAACGGGGCTGGTCCTTATCTTGAGGAACTTAAAGTTCACGTAGATGTGTGGATCCAGTAAAATCTGGGGAGGAAAAAAAAAAAAGTCCAAAGGAAAGGCATTTTTAGTTTGTTTTGTAAATACATGATGTGATCATGTTTTTATCAAATGTAGTGGTCAGGTAGAGTTTTAGCTATGTCTTAATGTGTTGTTTTTATAACTGAAGCCTAGAGTATTTATTCTTCACAATATCATCTCATAAACTTGTTCATGTATAAATAGAATAGAGGTGAAATAACTTTCTAAATTGTTTTTCCTTTTAGCTTCCAGAAATGCTTCATGGAGATGGAGATAACGAAGAGCATGGTTATTGTCCCGTGGGGCAGTTTATTCTCCAGAATCTAGGCCTGCTTCTCGGATTTGCCATCATGCTGGTCATTGCCCTCTATGAAGATAAAATTGTGCTTGACATCCAGTTTTGACCTAATTCTGGTAATCACTGTGGTTACACTAATATTACTGTATGGCTTTGAGTCTGCACTGTTTCACTGTATGCACATTGCTCAGAGGAAAAGCAGTGGCTTGCACTACTTACACAAGTACAGTCTATTCAATTCTGTGTAGATTAATGTCTGCTTTTTTTTTTCTAATTCAAATCAAGAGATGAGGTTACTCAATGCATCTTCTAAACTCAAGTGATCAACAATTATGAAACAAATGCCAGGTTCAGTGTTCTATATAGGAAGCACTGCTTGCTAAAGAAAGTAGTAGTACAGTGAATGAGCTACTCACTTGGGAAAATACCATTTCATTAGTACATTTGAACAGAACCCAGAAAATGTTACAGCTGAAATTCATACCTCTGCAAGGAACCTGAGTAAGCTTTTAGTGCCACATAAGTCTTAAGTAGCACATATATATGTATCTCTCTATATACGTGTAGATATATAGACAGATATATAGAGAGAGAGATATATGTGCGTGTGTGTATACATACATTCTGTGCTAATTATTCTGCTTAGTGGTGACTTGAAGTATTAAATTTTACAACAGAACATGACTGGAAACCACTGTGCTGGTTTAAATTTTAAGAAAGAAACCCAAAACATAAACACCATTAAAATTCTTAGAGTATGCACTAAGCTGGACTCCATCATTGTAAACTTCCTGTGTAAGAAGGCAGGCTGTTGCAATATACGCGGTAAAGTGCTACATTCTGGCAAGGATCAGGTTGACGATGTTTTGCCTGACTAAGATTTATTTGATGTTTGTTCCTTGATATTAGTAGAAAAATGCAAAATGCAGTAGAATTAGTGTTAGCTTGGGGAAATCCTTGATGTTGGGTTTATTGAGCTATTTCTGGTTCTTTTTTACAGATGTTAAACATGTATTGTGTGCCACTTGCAGCATAAACTACTGAAGAATTGTGGCTGTGAATTTGTGCAAACTCTTTTAACAGAGAATCCATATGGGAATTTCTCCATTTTTTTTAACAATTGTTTTGGACTGTTTTCTCCTCTTCACATTCAAACAATCCAAAGTGCAAGATGCTAGATACTGAACCTGGGCACAAAGGTTAAAGTATGCTCTGTGTATGTAATACTGGTAGATTATTTACAATACTGTAATATCAGATCAAAATCTGTTTCTACAGTGCCTGGATATCAGACATTGTAGCACCAGCCATTTCTGGCAACAGAGAGTCTGGAAGAAGATTTCTACTTCCAGCATAAAGGAGTTAATTTCTATGATATTTTTTTACAATTTTGGTATTTAAATTAGATTATTAAAAAGCAGATGTGATAGATCTGTGGTGTGTCTAATTTGGAAGGCTAGACTGAAAATTTGGGCCTTAATTTGCTGGGATCAGCTGTCCTAGATCAGATTGTGCAGATATGCTTATATTGCCAGACATGAGTTAGTTCTTCTTGTACCCATCTCCTTAAAAAAATTGTGAGTTTGTGAGGAGTGCAAGTTGATTCTGTAGTACCAGTCCTAAGCATGGTAGTAGTCTTTTTTAAAACATACATTTCGTCTTCTTTTACGTGTATGCCAGGTAAAAGCTGTATTTTGACTGTGTGCCGTAAGTTTTGTTTCGGTCTGCTTGGTGCCAGTGTAGCTGCTAAAACCACTGATCCTAACGCCTTTAATGAGAGCCAGTTGGTATCTTCATTCCATTTCAAGTTAATGTGTTTCCTGTGACCCTTTACTTTTTGAAGCTTCGTTGGTCAATTCAGTTTTTACTGAGAGCAGCTCATGTATTTTAAAGATATCGGTTGGTTCTTGACAGTATTTCTTCCTAATGCAGTATCAATAAACAGTATTAAGGGTCCATTTCAGAGAAGGGCACAGTTTCTTCAGTGAAGAAGCCAAAAGCCCAGAGTTTGGGCATGCAGCCATTCGATGCTCTGAACTCAGGTTTTCTTTTTTCTCCTTTAAACATGTTTACTGTTGGACCCTAATTAGCAAACACACTGTTAGCTTCAGGTTACTGAATTTCTGCAGTGTAAAGATCCTGGGTGATGGTTTTTCATAGTGCCCATGTTAAGTCATTGAGTATCATTTTCAGAAAGATTTAACTCACTGGATACCTTCTGAGGAGCTAAGTTTAAACAACCTATGTTTTCTGATGTATTAAACTGACCTTTAATTATCCTTTTCTGTTAATTCTGTTGAGTATAAGGGGGTCGTTATGTGGTTAAACTGATATTTTGTCAAATCATTTTTTAAAGTTTATTTCTTTTAATGCTTTTCAAATGAAGATTTCTATATTTCGGGTAGTATATTTACTTTTGTATTAGTTGGAATATGGTTATAGCTTAATACACTGCCTTTATAGGAAAATAGTTAACTTCCTTCCAAGACCATCTTCAGACAAGGGAAAAACATGGTCCTTGAAGGTAGGTACTGTATTTTTCATTAAATATGGGTTGTTTCCTTTTATTTTCTAGTATTTATTACAAGTTATGAAGAACAGTGTAACAGCTGTGACTTCTTCTGTATGTTTTCACAAGTATTGAATTCCAGATGATTCTAATGTACACGTTTGAGTCATGTTACAGACAATCGGAATTCCACTACATTTCTACTTGGCTTCAACATTCCATTCTGCTTGAATCCAGAGTCTCATTTAACTTGTATTTGTTGGAGGGCATAAATGTTACTTGTATATTACAATGCTGTCACTGTGTGACATCCCATATGAATTTTGATGTAGATCACATTGCACTCAATCCGCTGTGATTATGCTTAGAAAATATTGTAGTTGCTAGATGCAGTGTGGTTTTTTTAAAAAAAATTTTTTTCCCCTCCCATTAACAATTGAGTCTATGGTTTAAAATGTGATTATGATCTTGTAAGATAACTTGCTGAGCTATCAGTCTTTTTGTTATAACTAAATCATTTTTTAAAATTTTATAAAGCTGGAAATGATCAAATGCTGTTTTGTTCATTGTCAACAGTGTTGTGTTCATTTTATGTATGTTCCTTATTTATAAGGAGCCTTCAGAAAATAAAATTATTCAAGGAGCAGATATTTTTGTGGGCTTTTATAAGGTTTTATTGTGCACCTTTGTATTTTAGTGTTTTGTTTCAAATCTCATGACAGGACAAACGCAACACGGTAAATGCTCGTTTTGTTTTCTTTTTTTACATGGTGTTTCGGGACTGACAGGTGTCCCTTTAAGCAATCTGAAAAATGCACCTACCTCCATAAATTGTGATAGGTTTATGAGTTAAGCTGACATAGTAAAGCCACACCCCGTCTGATCCAGTGTTCTTGCGGTTTGTCTGAAGGGAGAGTCATCGCGATGACAAAGTTGGTGGAATGCCCTGTAGTTGACAGGATCCCTCTTCTCTCGCTGGTCTTGTACACTGGGGCCAGGTAACTTGGTCGCTGTGGAATGTCTGCTCTCTTACACGGCTTTAGCCAGATCTGCAGTAAAGAATAAAATCATCCTTCTCATGTCAGTTAAAAAAAGAAGTAGGGAAACAGTCTTTGCTCAGCCAAAGCATTTTGACATTGTTTTTTTGTTTTGTTTGCTTTGTAACAAAAAACCTGTTTCTTGTGTCCTTTTTCTTAGCAGATTGCTTCCAAACTTCCTGTCACTCTCATTATTAGCAGAGGATTCTCAGCTCCTCTCAGAAAGCTTAATTTCTATTTCAACACAAAACATTTAAATTAAATTACTTTCTTTTTTTAAAGAATTACCCTGTTACTTTCTTCAAGACTAGAACTTAAGAGTATTACTTCTACAGTATTTGTTGGTATATTATACTATAAAATATCACCGAATGAAAAATACTGACCACAGGTACTGTATCGTAGAGGATTTTTGGATGAGATTCTCCCAGCTTTTTAGTGTGCCTGTTCCAGCGTGCTCCATCCAAGAACAATCCCTGAACGTAGACCCCTGAATCAGTGGGAAAAGATACCATATTACGCAAAAACTGAAAATGTCTTCTAGCTGAGGGCAGCAGCTAGTGCAACACGCTTTGCGAACTGTCAGTTAATTGAGCGTGTGGGACTTTTTGTCAATTTTGTGTGTTCCAAGTGATGAACAAAGAATTTTGAGTATAACACAATCTTATACTATATTACAATTTGTTACGATTACAGTTCTATAAAGTTGTATAAAGTTACAATGTCCAGCCTTTTCTGAATATTGAGTGACAAAGCTTAAAAATTATTCCACAGTACAGGAAACTATTTTTACAGTTGTCATTATTATAGTTTTCTGTGTGTACTACATATTGTCGGCTTTAATGTTTCCAAACTTGGAGATTTGATCATATAAGCAGTCTTTCACTAGTTAGTCTTTACATTGTTTCATTGCTTATGTTTTAAATTGCCACTCGCTTATACCTTTCTAACATGGTTCATTAAAGGAGGAAAGGAAAAAAAAAAAAGTCTGTAAATGTTTTAAAAACATAAATATCTTTATTTTGACATATCTGCCCCAACAGAAAATGACTTGAAAATGATTGTGTGTGGCTCTCCTGGGCAACCTGCCAAGCCTTTTTTTTTTTAAACACAACTTCCACTGAAAGTGACCCTCAGAAAAATATTAAAAGGAGTAGTAAGGACAGTTCAGTTTTATCTTTTTTCTGAGGAAGGGCAATTTAACAAATGTATCTGCAACTGGAATCTATGGTAAGCAATATATAATAAAGTGGTTTGATTACAAAAAACAGGGCTTTCCCACCGTTAGAGCAGTCCCCTGTTGCATACTATGGTCATATCCATAAGATATTTTTCCAGGGATAGTTAACATAGCATACCCAACTTCTGTACTAAATGTTTGCTTTTCCTTGGCTTAGGAAAATAGGCATCTTCAGACATATATGCTAATGGGGTGAAATAAAGGAAAAAGTAAAGGCAAGCTAGATACCACTTGGAAGTTTTATCTGTCGTGGGCAGTTTGGGTAAGGAGTGTCCTCTGTTGGTGGTGTATCTGCATGCCAATCCAGGAGGTGGACTAATCTCAGCAGCACATAAGGACTTAAATAGTATTTTGCCTCCTCAGCTCCTGTGCATCTCGTGAGGAGCAATGCAGTTATGTATGTTTTCTAGCTGAATTCATTACTCAGTTGCATAAATCTTGAGTCTGCAAACTGACTTCTGAATACGTCAGCAAAGGCAGGAAATTGTGTCATCATGCATTTACTCACCATCCTCAGGAGCAATTTCATATTCCTTATCTTCCAGCACTTCATAGTCAAATTCCAGTAGGTCTATTGGAATGGTGTATTTTCTAGCATAGTTCTGCTGGGCACCTGTTAAGAATGCTTGAGTGAAGAAGAATCCTGAGATCCAGAAGACTGGTGGAGTTCCATTTTCATACCACAGCTGCAACATCAAAAGAGAGGAGGAAAAAAGAAAAAAACTGCCTTGTATTATTTTTTTTTTGTTAGTATTTAGGAAAGCAAATATCTGCTAGAATAACAGCAAAAGTATTTTCTCCCTTTGTGAATCCAGGATTATCTTTTTTGTTTCTGAAAGCAGTGGAATTTTGCATGGCTGCCATGTCTCTTTTAAACAACTTGTTTAAAATGTCATTAACTTCTGTTTTAAAAAAACAGCCAAACAAAGAAAACCAACCTCAAACAAAAAAACACGCAAAAATTCCAACACTGTTGCCTGGAAATACTTAGCTTATGTAAATGACTCAGTCTGAATTAAGTCTGTTAAACATGCATCATTCGTCAAATGAGTGTTCAATTCTGCTTTTCTCCCTCATTATTGAAGGCTGTTCAGCATTCAACTTTGTTCCTCTGTGCAAGTGACACATTTTTTGCAGGCTTTTTTTTTTCTTTGGAAAGGGTCATACTTACCTTCCAGGGCCAAAGTCACCTGTTGTAAGTGTATACAGCAAGTTGAAGATGAGGAGGGATGATTTCCTCATGAGGAGGATATGTGGCCTAATTAAACTTCTGTTAATTTGGGGGGGTGGGGAAGGCACTTTTTTTGTTTGGATGTTCTTGTTTGGTTGTTTTTGTTGGGGTTTTTTTAGTAGCTTATACTGTGGAGGCCTCTGTATAAAAACTATTTTTAAAAATGCCGAAATTCATTAGATTTGGTTGTAATATATGTGAGGTCTGTTGCAATGGTGAATACTTACTGCATGCAAGAAGACATTTTTCTGATTGTGACAAACATCAGTTTTGAATAATGTCTGAAAAAAAATTGCTACAATTATCTGCTACAGAGAATTACAGTGGAGACAACTAAACTGGTTGTCTCTACTAGGAAGTAGTTTTCCTTGCAAGAAATAAAAAAATTATCCTCATAGCTACCGTCAGTTTTCTGTTTTTAGAAGTTTAATTTCTGTCCTGCATTCTGTTCAAGAAATGGCACTTTTGTTCTTTACACATATTGCTGCCAGGCTTGCTACAGATGAAAGTGGAAGTTACTGAGAGGTGTTGACTGGGTGATGCATCTCCAAAACCATAAAATAGAGGTTCTGTGGAAATGCAGGTTTTGTGAATATCCTAGTCCTGAAACTGGATGCTTATTTTGATTTTTTTTTTAATTTATTTATGATTTTTCTTCCTAGATCTTTTGTCTATCTTGGGACCTGTTCTTACAACAGGTATGGAGTAGGCAACCTGCTATGAGTTTGGGTTTCTTTGGTTGATTGAGATTACTAAGCCACAGACTGATGCTGAGACTAGGTATTACTCAGTTAAAGCAGTTTTGGGAATCTGCAACTTACAGGTGAAGGAACCCCACTGCTGCTCCCCGACTCACCCAGCTTTCTTCTCCAGCACTCTACTGAAAGCTTGGTATTTGACTTTAACATAAGATTTTGTGTTAAAATGTTTTACTAATTTAAGTTTGCTCACTGGACATAAACTCACCAGTATTTTCCTAAGTTCTATTTTAATTAACTTCATTACCACCACCAGATTTATATGCAGTTTAAGAGGCTCTTAGTAAGTTCATTTCACAATTTTGTCATATTCTGCACTTCATAAGGAGAGCTGCAGTACATCAGTAATAGTGTAAGTAAGTGGCAAAATGTAGTGCTTCATTAGATGCTGTGATGAGCACAAATGAACTGAACTTCACCTCTCAGTTGTTCAGTGGAAGTAATTTGTATGTGTGTGTGTTCACCTGTGGAGATGTCAAGTGACACCAATAGACAAAAATAATAAGCGGCATTGAACAAATCTGTGAAATGGGGTGTGCTCACCTGTAAGAACTTGAGTCTATTAAGGAAGTCAGTCACATAGCTGCCCAGAGGCTTGAGGCTTGGATAAGACTTACTCATCCATAGTCCTGGAATTTTGCCTTTCAGAATGCTGTTTACCACTTCTTCCAGTTCAGCAGACATCACTACTAGGCCCTAAAAGAAATTTTGGAAAGGAAGGTGTCAAAATACTTTGCCTAACAGTCTTGCTTTAACAATTAAAAATCAACACGGTGCTCTGTCAAACAGATGTTACAAACTTCTAAGTCAGACAGGAGCAACACTGCAAACAGGAATAGTGGACATAATGGGTTTCTTAAAAGGTTACTGGGGTCTCCTGTCTAACCTGGGAAAGGTCCATAGCCTGTTTTGGAGAAAACTGCCCATACTGGAAAATTCTCCCTTGCCATCCTGTGTCAGAAACATGGCCTTCCCAGACCACTTCTGAGTTTTACTAACTGTAAATGCTCTTTTTTTATTATTATATAAAGTTTCCTCAAAACTCTGCAACATTGCTGCACGTGCCTTATTCTAAAGTGGCAGACTTTTCAGCTTGTAGTTTGGCTTTAATGGGAACAGGAGTGGTGTTTGTGGGGTTTTTGGTTTTTTTAAATGCCTTGTGAGCCTTAAGTTATAATAGGATAACTTAAAATTACACAAACTGACGTTTTCCTGCTTTTTTTTCTGTATTTTGCACAGCTGTAGCTTTAGATTCCTACTGAGAACAAATATTGACTTTAGCATGCGATATCTTAACTGGAATCCTCACTGGCAGTAATTTGCTATTTGAGGTGTTGAGATCTGCTTTCACCTGTAAGAAGCTGTGTGAGGTGCTTCAGTGTTTTCTGCCAGTGAGGCAGAAAAATAGATGGGAACCTAGTTACTGCTTGTCTTATTCGCTAGCAAATCTGTAGTTAACAACTTTCTGGTTTGGTTTCTCTACAGTAGGCACAATAGTACTTCAATATTCCATGGTACTCCTATCAGTTTTAAGACAGATCAATAAATCAGTTTGGAATCCAGATTCTTTCAGGTGTTTGACTGACTGACCTGAATTAGACTTCAGGGTCAGTTCTCTAAGGTACTTGCATTAATAGCTCACAGACTGAAGGTAGGTTCTAGGTATATGCCTTTACAGGTTATCTTTCGCTCACCTTTATTGCTTTTTGGATGTTAACACAGGAGTCCCGTATTGTCTGCAATAGCTTGTTAAAGCGTCCCATCTCTTGGACAAGCACAGTATTCATGCTTTGAGTGTAAGTGGTTGGATATCTTCTCATTGCTGCTTCAATGTCAAAATCTGGAGGAAGTTTGCTCAGGATGTCACCTGTGACTTCACGAACAACTTCATCAGTGGATTTTGCACCACCACCAGATGCCCGAGACTAGAGAGAGCCAAAAATTTGGATTTATTTTGAGAAAAAGAGGACTTGAGAAAGTGAGTAGTTAAAATGCAGGAAAATAGAGCTCTTATAAAGGGTGTTGTTTAAAAGATCATTACAGTTCCAACACTCTTCCCCTGTGACTGAAATTATTTGTTTCAGAATTTCCAATATTATTGCAATAAGTTATTACCTTAGAACTAACAAAATATGGTTTCCTACAGACTTGTGTCCTCTTTTTTTTTGCCGAAATCCTGCTTCCACTGTAAACCAGTCTTTCTCCCCCCAGCTCTGATGTACCCATCAGCATGGCTGGCTGGCCCGGTGCTGTCAGATGGCACAGAGTGGTGCCGAGTTCCATCTTTCTGTTCCTCCATGTCACTCTTGCTCCCTACATTCAGCTCTTCATTTTCCTCACAAAGCTCACAGGAACTATAGCATCCCTAGATTGTACCTGCCTTACAAACTGGGCTGAACTGGTCAAGAAGATGAAAATTATTAAAAGTCGGGGGAAGTAGAAGATACGCAAACTGGCTGTACAATCACAGAAGCTATGTTTCCTTAGGAGGACAGTTGGGAAAAATACAAAACCAGAAAAGCCTTAAAAGATTCTTAAGCGGAACGGTAATTTCACCAGAATGGAGATACATCACATTAAGGTATAGTAAAAACTGAAAAAAAATCTGAACATACTTGTGGAGGTAGAGTAGAAAGTTACTGTAAGATGGTGTGTGACAGTCTTGACATACCTGTGTAAGAAGAATGTTATCAAATAGCAGTTGTGTTTCTGACTGATCCTTGGTAATATCAGCATTTGCGTTCATTCCAAATATCTCTGGGGAAGGATTCAGTGGAAGTGTCTTCGTATATTCAATATAGCTTTGGTACTGGAAAAAGGGAAAAAAATTAGACTTAAAAGGAGATGCAGAAACAGCCAAACAGCCTGTGACACGCTGCAAGCTGTGTCTCAACCACTACAAACTTTCCTAGAGTAATGAATACAGTGTGTAAACTAAGATATAAAAGGAAATACAGGGGCTAACTGTGCCTCACAAATTCCTTTGGTCCATCCTTTTGCCCTGAAATCAGGATTGGCTTTGCTTAAATAATTTCTGTCAAAATTTCTGATCGCTGTTGGAAATTCTCTTAGAAAATAAGATACCTAGTGCAAGGGGCTGCAGCTCCTTTCTGGGCCCACTGTTTGCCAAATGTCTGTGAAGGCATTTTGCTGATGTGTAAGATATCTCTCCTGTATGATGAATTAAGCTGATTACTCTTTCCTTTCTATCACCAGCAGATATGATCAACTAATACCTATTTTATAATGCTTTTAAATTCAGCAGGGTGGGTTTCTCCCTTATTGTCACACAGCACATGGAGCAAAGTCAATTTAGTGCGTAGTAGCTGGGGTGGGTTTTTTTACATCATTTCTGTTTCCTAGAAATCACTGAAACAAGTTCTAATAGAATGTGAGATTAAGCCACAAAGTGAGCAGTGACAGCACTAAGCACTGAGGCACATACCAATGTGAGTAAAGATCTGTTTTTTTAAAAAATAATCTGTTGGTCATTCCGTTGTTACGGGATACTTACGTCTCCTTCAGGAGGAGCAAAATAAAGGCCACTTGGATCAAATTTATAATCTACATTTGTAATGATGTCCGAGGAGAAGAACATGTTTAGAACACTACGGAGCGTACGCCGATCCCACTCATCAGTGACTCTGCCGCCATAATTGCATTCTCCAGTCATGTAGCGAAGAGCATCGTATGGCACCTCCTGAAAAAAAAGCAAGACAGTAATCTGAACTGCAGCCTACCACTTCTCTGGACAGCCATACTGGTATAATTGTAATTCATTGGGAAGTCATCCAGAACTCTTACTGTAAAGTTTAAATGCTGTTATTTATTTCTGCTAGTTCATGCTTGTACCATTGATATCCTGCTCTTCAACTATTTTAATAATCATCCATCAAGTCACCCAGCAGTGCTTCTTTTGAAGAACAATAGCATCAAAAATTTCCTTATTAATGCAGCTGGAACTGCTGGGGTACAGGTTTAAGAAAAACTTTTTCAAAATTTTTTCTACTTGTTTGGCTATACTTTTAAAATAAATGTATGCTGTTACAGAGCCATAGCTGTACTTGTAATTTTTTTTTTTTTCTTTTTTAGAAAATAAACATGTTTAAAGTCTGGAAGTTGGGAGAAGCTGGACTCCTCTTAGGCACGTAAAAGGAACAAATTACAAGTGATAAGAGATAAATTATTTACAGGAAGGCAGGGCAAAAGTGGGTGATACACTGAGAACCAGGATAAAACAAACCAGTACCAAGAAGCCTGTTTACTGTGTACAAGTTATTATCTTTCATGGAAAAAAATGGTTCCCTCCCTGCTAGGCACTACATTTGTACGTAAGCTTTGGTCATGTAAGGGGAGGACATTCCCCTCAGACCCCTCCCCTTCACTCTGCCACAGGAAAAGAAACACACACCTTCACAAAGTTGTTCCTCATGCTGAATCACAAATTGCCTATTAACCACACTGATAACCAAAACCACTCCAAGCTGGCAGTGGTTTGGAAATAACACCGCCTTCCTGTCCCCAGGCACAACTTTAACAAATTCTGGCTATAGGGAGTTGCTTCGGAAGCTGGAACATAAAAGACGTGTCATGTATTGCTAGTAAAGTCCAGAGAGGATTCTATGAAACACTGCCTGGCTCTGCAAAATTTACACAAATAGATCAGGATTGTTGATCTGCCACAGTCCAGGGTCTAGTATTATCCCTATGAGTAACTCACAGTTAGCAATTAAGTGGTTTAGTATGATATTTTACAGCTTGCAGTAACACCTCCAAGAGGTGAATCCACAGCTCCTGCCTAGACAGAGGGTAAGATTCTAACAAGTAAGGCAACTATATGGAATAAATCCTGCTCTGTTTTGCATGGCAAAACTTCAGAATTGTAATTTGAAAGCTTCCAACATTAGTTACACTAACCACTTAAAATGAACGTGGTTAGCACTATTTCAACTGGACCTTGGTTTCTAATTCACTGCCCCCACTAAACTACTGCTGTGGCAGCACTCAGCCTGCATTGGTACATCGTGCACTAACAGTTCTAGAAAGTGCAAGCAAGGACTGGTGACCACTGTGAGAGGTTGCCATACCTCGTACTGGTCGAGGAAGATGTGCAGCTGCTGCACGCTGATGCGCAGGTCAGTCTCATTGAACTCGTATGGAATGTTCCAACCCAACGGCCCAAAATTCCGCCTTTCTTGCACCAGCGCGTGGAAGAAGCAGAGGCCGTACAGCAATGTCTTAAACTCAGCCTTAAAACCAAATGCAACACAATTAATAATTCATGGCTGCTTTGTTGTTGGGTTGGTTTTGTGGTTTGTTTTTTTTTTTTTTTTTTCTCAAGAGCATACATACAGAGTCATCAGGGTCGCTTTAACTGATTTACAAAGTTACAATATGCCATTACTAACCGGTTTTCTGCAGCTGTCAAAAAAGCCAGGATCAGATATTGGATCCATCAGGTACGACCGAATTATATTGGCCCGTAAACCTTTTGGTGCTTCATTAGTCATCTTCACTCCATTCTGAAGTACAGACACCGGGAAAGTGGCAGATGGGTAACTGGTGAGCCAAATTCGGAAATCTGGATGTGTTGTATCAGGGTTTAGCTCCTACAATAAACAAACACATGTAAAACCAGGCAATTGGAAGACACAATGGATTAATACACACCTCAAGTATTGCTATTATTAAAGCAATTTTTTTTTTAATTGGCAAAATATACCAGTCCAAAGTTTAATTTCTTAAAGATTATAGAAAAAAATTACAGTTATGAATAACAATTTCCCTTCTACTATTTTTATTCAAGACTTCACTATTTTGAACTAAAATTTTTCCTCTCCATGCATGTTTGTGGAATATATGAATGAAAGTGCAGGTTCTGTACCATGAGAACAATGGGATGCATACATTGCCCATTTACTGCATTTACTGTCATACGGCTGTTCTGGGAAGGGCTATAGTAACAATATGTATACATCAAAAATGTGTTAAGGTTATTGGGGGGGGAAGAAACGTACATTAGCACCTCTCTGGAGGTCCCATTATTTATGAGATGATAATACTTATTTTTACCTCACAGACTCTTTCCAGTATTGGCATCCATGAACTTGCTAGATGGCAATTTTGCAGAACTATCCATGTTCCTTCCTTTACTGCCTTCTCTATCATTTTCATGGCTATTGGGCCTTGGCCTTGACCAAGCGACAGAGACTTAAGCTTTGTACCACCGTATCCCTGCATATAGAAAACATATTATAAGAAAGAATAATATTGCATAAATACACTGAACCTTCTGGTATAAGAGTTCACATCTATATGTATTCTTGAAATATTAAATATACAGTATATTTTAAAATACAGTTTACATCTTTTTTTTTCATGTCATTCCAGTTGACTAAAACCTCTGATCTATCTTCCAGTGAAAAGCTCCAACTACACATACATTTCATCTGGAATAGTAAAATTCTAACAGTTTCAAAATACTCCTGAAAACAGTATGCTCTTTAAGGATTTAGACAACTACTAGAAAATGCAGGCTACATTTACAGTTTGGTGGTTGGAGACTTGAAGTATGGCTGTCATTCTCAGCAGCACAGAATTCTGACAGAATAAGCGTCACGAAATGCAAGAAATACATCTTAGCAGAAAACAGCAACTCTCTAGCATTATAACTACTCTTCTACATAAGAACGATGTAGGCTGTTGGGAATTTTTTGTTTTAAATGCTATAATAGTAACAAAGCCAACAAAAATCCGTATTCGAATTCTGCTGTGTAAATGACACCCAAGATCCTAAGATCCTATATTATTACAGTGGTTTTTAATTAAGTAATATACATAATGCTTGTTAGAAAAAAACCACCATTTTCAGATAAGATTCCTTACAACAAACATTTAAACCATTATGGTTTTCTTCCATTTTCCATTTGAGATGACACAGACTAGTTAAACAGACCATGATGTCACAATATTATAAAATATACCAGAAATATTTAACATACAATTTCTTACAAACAATAGACAAATTATTCATTCCTAAGAAAAAAATATCCACTTGCATTAATTAGTGCTATCATGAGATCAATTTTAACATGCTTTTTGGCAGATAAAAACAGGGGTTTGAGCTTACTTTGGCATTTCAACTTTTACTTAAATAAAGTTCCATGCTTCATACAAACATATGCGTGCATGCACGTGCACACACACACGCAAGCCTCAACTATATTTAAAAAGTGTGGAGATAAGGAATACCTGATCATCAGCAAACTTAACAAGGGCTGCCATGGGGTCGGCACCAGGAGAAAGAATAAATATCAGTGGTACACAAGAGTGACTATCAGAAAATGCTTTTGACAAATCAAATGGAGGTGGTTCAATAAATGGACGTCCCAGGTTATGAATGATAAATTCCTGCACCATTGGTATTATCTAAAAAAAAAAAAAGGGGGGGGGGGGGAGGAATAGAATTAACATGTCCTATTTTTGTGTAACCATTAACACATTTTAATATAAATTTCAAGGATAGTACTCCTGCATATAAAATTAGGTACAAGTACAGTCCCAGAGGAATCAATGATTTAGCATGTGCAATCTAGCCAAATAATAGGCTTTAAGCTCAAAGATGCTCTAAGAGGGTTGAAATTGGAAGTCCTAGGCAAATGATCCTTAATCTCACTTCTGTCACCACATCTAGACAGACTAATGTGCTGGTAGAGGAAACTGCATTTTTTTTTTTCTGCACTTACTCCAACTGTATTGTGGAGAGGATTTCAATTTTCAGGTCTTATAATGCAACATCTTTCAAAGGTGTTAAGATCTTGGCTTAGAAAACAGCTGTGTACAGCAGTCTGACATACACTGGTGTTAAAACTTCCTACTGAAGTTAACTGGGCTCTGTACCAAAATGAGAGACAAATTATAAAATGATAGCTTAATGCTTTGATCCTGTAAACCCTCACAGATATAGTTATTTTAAATATGACCATTCATTCTCTCTCTGGACACACTCTAGAATATTTTACAATAACCACCTCCCCTTTAAAGAAATGCAACAATGTGTGCAAACATGATACTAAAATCTAATCTCTGAATATGAAAGTTAAGAAATGCTAAAGGTTTCAGATAGCAATGTGAATTCAACTACTTTGGTCACAGTCAGTATAATATTTTTTAAAATTTTATATGTAAAATTGCTGTATTTGTAACTAGAGTTTTTAACTTGCACTTTTGACATTTAGTTATAAAATCTGTAATTTTCATACTGCATTAGCATAGGTACTTTCAGTTAATAAATACATACTGTGACCAAGTACACAAAATGTGACACAGAGGGAAGAAAGTTGCAGTACCTTCATTTCTCTCAATTGTTCTGCTCATAAACTCACCGTTTTACTTAATTTAAAACTTACCCTGCTTTACAGGTGCAACATGTCACCAATTAGTATAATGCCTTAAATTGGAGAGCAGGAGAAAGGCTCTGGGCTATACTAATTGCAGGCTTTATAGATGGAGAGGCTTTTGAAAGAGCTTGCTTTGGCTTCCAAGCTCTTGAGTGATTTTAAGGATATGTATGAATATGAGAACCGTTTAAAAACCTTCACAAACTGGCCTTTTCTTGAGAACTGCAAGTGCACTCCTGAAAATGTAAGTCTGAAAATGGATATTTTGACTACACCTTATTTTTTTATATACTATGCCTGAATATGAAGTCATTACTAAGTATATTCATGTTCAAGAGTTGTGAGCTTCTGCTAAGCCTGAAGAAGATGAAAAATTGAATACTGCAACTTTCCTCTGGTCCCTAATTAGAAATACTGTAGTAGGATGACTGGCTTCTGCATGTGAGGCTCACTAATCTATAGCTATAAAATTGAATATAGTTACTTTTCTTGGCATTTTTTGGGTGGGTTTTTTGTTTTTTTGTTCTTGTCATTTTGAAGTTAATTTCTTGTATTATGTAATCTTTGTGTTTGCAAACTTTCATTCACAAAAAAAGAAGCTTACATTAGAAAAAACAAGTACACATCCAACAGGAAAGACAAAGTAGTAGAATGATCACTACCTAAAATTCAGAAATAGAAATTATTCAAATTTTAGAAAACTTAATGTTTACATCCCCTGCAGACTTTGACTTGAGCATTAAAAAATCCACCTGACTTCTACTTTGGTACACACATGAAACTTCCAGGCTGGATTTCAGATGAGTCATACTGCAAGAGTTATCTGAGAAGGTGTGGCGTTTAATAACTGAAACAAACTTACTTAATTTTTAGTGTTCTGACCAAGTGTAATTCTAAAGTGACAGGAAAACTTAGAAGTCAAAGATGTAGCATTCTGCTCACATAATTTATATTTAAAGGTTCTCTATGTCCATGGTCTTATGCTATGTTTTTTCTGTGAAAATTAAATTCTTTAAAGTCCTGGCTATGGCACATCTCATGCACTGCTACTAGTGCATGTACTAGACATTATCTGGTTGACAAAGCTATTCTGGTAGCCTGCAGATACCACAGCTATGCAGAAATCCATTCACTACTTGTAGCCTATTCCTTCTTCCTCTACCAGTTGTTTATTTACCTGCTTGTAGTCCTCACAATTTATTTTTCAGCCTGATCTGTGCTGACAGACATTGTGGGGACAGGCATTATTTGCAAGCTCTCAGAAACAGGTTGCTGAAGTGAACATGAACAGTGTGTTGGATCAGGCTCTAAACTTCTACACTGTCACCTGCAGATGGCAAAGGCTGGCTTTGTCCACTGTCCAAATGCAAATGAACCCGATGTGGCAAAATGTTTCTTTTGCTTGATAGAACTGGAGGGCTGGGAACCGAATGATGACCCATGGTAAGCACAGATGTAACAATGTTTTTGAAGTATTCCTCCAAACATCTTTGACAACATCCCTGTACTCATAAAATTACCAATTTCTCTGTAACAGTTCACAAAACTGAAGCCTACTGAAAGTTTATCTTACCCAGTAACACTGAAATAGTTCATAATTTGTTAATTATACCCCACACAGTTCTTCATAGTTCTTTCATTTTTGTCTCCAAAGAGAATGCTTTTTATTCAACAAAGTAGAAAATAGTTTTTCTCAACATTGTAAACTCACTCTAAATCTTCCCTTGTATCTTCTTGGCTCACAACTAGCTTTTATCTGAGATCAACTAAAATCTATTTCATATGTTTTCTGTATGATACTTTTTCTACTGATAGACAGTAGAAGTACTGAAAAGACCTGTCCAGATTTCTTCACATCTTGAAATGTAACTTTCATGGGTTTAATATCCGTTGTTATTCTGGATTTACATTGCAGGGAGGAACACTCTAAACGTCACAGCTGTGGCTTTTTATCCCTTACTAAGCACTTTGATGACCTGACAATGGAGGAGTACTACATGCTGGAGATGACACGGCTGAGAACCTTCCTTGTAAGTGTTAACCAATAAATCTTAATATACGATTCAAAGCTAGAATGTAAACAAGAACTTCCATCTCTAAGATTTCCAAGTATCAGCAAAGAGTGATTGTGTAAAGCTAGAACATGATCTATTTTGAAGTAATAATTTACATGCATTATTGACTAAGAAATCTGCACCTAAACACTTCTCAGTGTAGTCTATTGTCTAGTTTTTGAAAGAAAACCCATTTCCTTTAGAAATGTTTTCTCAACAACTCATTAGAGCCAGAAAAAATGTCGGGTGCAATAAGCAATCAATCTGGGAAACTCTATAATGAGCAGGTCTATCTTTCTCAGGAGGGACGAACACTACACGTGAAAGGACAAAATTTGACCAGATCACTAAGTCACATGTCCAGTTTTGCATGTAAATCAGTCTAAACTTTCAAACTTCAAGGTCTTTTTCAAACATTTTACAGTTTTACTCCTCCCCACTTCTGTGATTTCATGCATGGCATAGTGTTGATATATACAAAAGCACACAAAACTGAGCTGCTTCAACTAGCTGACCAAGGATCAACTGATCTTTGATATACGGACCCCTAATCCTATGGACAGTAAGAATCAGGTGAACCATGCTCCCTGATGAGGAACTGTAAGGGTTCTGCATCTTGCTTCCTGGTGGGTTTGCACAAATAAGATCTTTGTCTTGCTAATAATGTTCCACATTGAAAAATACACCTGGTGACTGTCAAGGTTAAGTATTTAAGTTCCCTGTACAACACTCAAATACATAAAAATAGGATCACATGCTGCAGTGGGAGCAGTCTGATATCTTAAATGGTGGACTAAAAGTGAGAAGATGATGATATCTAACCTGAACAGTGAATGATTTAGAGCAGTGTTCCAAGGTACAAAAGGGGTCTTGGCCAAAATATTACTTTATTTCTAAGTATAGCATATAGAAAACTTGAAGCAGCAGCTTCAAGTGGGGACACTTTGCCGTCAAGAACACTGTCACCATTAGCTTGGAAGGTTATGCATTAGGGCTAATTCAGAGCATGCTGCCATCTTGAAGTACCAATATCCTAATACATCCTGAGAAACGAGAAATTGTTTCTTCTTCACACAGAAGAAACAAACTGAAGTTTCCCTCCCTGATGTGATTTAAAATATAACTAAACAGTAGGTTCACAATTGACTTAAAAGAAAAAGTATATGAGACTTAGCCAAAAGTGGTCACTGAACTGAGCCCTACAGGCAAGGCTGGTGGAGGAGTTTCTGAATCAAATGGGGGTATGCATATGACACATCTGCCAAACTGCTCTGCACCATTCAGACAGCAGCATTGCTGACCATAGCCAAAAGTAGACTTCTAAGCTAGAATTAGTAGCAGATTAGTGGGTTTTTTGAGGATTTAAGTTTTGAACATAGTTGAACTAGTCAGATGAATTGCTCAACTGAAAGTCTCAATCTTTTGCTTTGCTTTAAGTGCAAAACTGGCAGAAGCATAATAAACTCTTTTGAAGAAGAAGTCACCACAACTAGGCAGCGTCTTGTGGATAACTTCATCTCCAAGCATCAGTATACACCACCACTGCCAGTACCTCTCCATGCTGATCCGTCTGCCCAACATTCTGAAAGCTCATACTGCCAGTCAAAAAAAATCCAGGAGAAGTGAAGTGTAAAGTTTGACTCCAAAAGTTTCTTGTCTTTATATGGTAAAAACATTCATATTTTTATCTAAGTAGTAATATAAAGCTGAACAGTTGTGTGAGGAAGCATAAAGAATTCCTTTCACAGGCTCTCTGGAACAGAGGTCATAACAGTTTATACTAACTCCTATCTTTCACAATGTGCTTTGTCATTATGGCTAGGTGTGGACTAATAGTAGTCTCACTAACCTGTGAATATATGAAAAATGTCTAAGCAAATACTTATATTCTGGCTTTTAGTAGGTTGATTTTTTTTTTGAATAAAGTTTCATGACTGTGAGCACCTATTGTGATCTCTGCCATATTCAAGCCTTACAGCTAGACAGACTCAAATCAGAACAGTTCTGCTTCAAAACACTTTCCACAGAACAAAATGGATCTGTGTGTCTGCAATAATTGCTACCTTTAAGCACC